GGGTTGGGGGGGGGGGGGGGGTTACTGGGGGACCACCCACACCCCAGCTCCCTGGAAGCCTCCCCCAGATCAAGGCACACAGGGGCCCCTCATTTTCCAGCCCCAGACAGCATAAACACGGGTGGACGATATCACATCTGAGCTGGGAACTCAAGGAGGATTTGTTTTCCAAGATCCTAACAACAAATGAGGTCTTTTCTGGCAGGTCCTTCGTGAGGACACGCCAGCCGCCCAGTCAGCTGTGCAGCCCCACATCCAAGAGATGTATTTATCTTGGCCTCCATGGGAAGCGGAGAGAGTCCCAGCTTGCAGAGGTGTGGGGGGAGCTGCTGGGAGAGGAGCCGGTGAGGGGTCTCTGTGTCCCTCTTTGGACAGGACCTGATCTTAACTACTTGGCAGAGAGGCTGCGAGGTCCCATGAAGCTTGTGTGATGGGGGAGAATGTTGAACAGAGGATGTTTCAGGTCTCCTGAACCCCAAGGTGGGGCTTGTGGTCTTCGCAGGGCTGTCCCACACTTGCCATGGCACAGTGACAGTGTGTTTGAAGCTTCTCTAAAACACAGGGATGGTACGCGGTGTCTCCCTGGCTGCTGCAGCTCAGCCCTGCCTGCGCCATCGCCTTCTCCCCTGTGCAGCAGGAGGGAGAGGAGCAACACAGCAGAGGTCCCAGGGATGGGCCATAGTCAAGGTCTGGTCTGCCAGACTGAAGCTTTCACCCACCTCCTCCCCTGTTTCTACTGTAATGCTGTCCTTCCTCCACCCCTCACCCTTAGTGCTGGCATACTGACGTGCTTTGGTGGAAGATATATGGGTGATATACGATAAACAGACAATCTGCTCCTGTTTTCCCCTAAGCACACCAAATCTCGACGTATGCCATGCTGCCGACATGCAATGTGGACTGCTCAGCCCCATGTATTCCATGGTTTCTGGGAGCAAATGTCCTCTGGGTCTCCTCCTCTGGGGTCCTCCAGGATCTGGCTGATGTGTGTGTATACTAGCGCACTTAATCTCGTTTGCTGCGAGAGGTGTCCCAGTTAACAGCACTGCATCTCCGCTCTCCATCCATGCAGTACCCAAAGGAAGCCCTGTCTGGTGATGGTTCTAGCAGCTGCCTCCTTTCTGCTGCCCCATTAGCAGTATCCAGGCTCCAGCCTGGTCCAGGAAAGGATGCTGACAATTTCTGTTTAGCAGTTAAGCAAGTTTTTAACTAAACAATACCTGCATAAAAAAATGGAGGGGTAGGAGTACAACAGGGCAATTTATTATTGGTACAAATTAACTGAAACTATCTCAACTTCACTGTCTAAGCCAAGAAAAAAAGGCAGGACACAAAAAGCATGATGAGTGACAATGGAATGGGATTTTTTATTTTTGCTCCTCTTTTAACCATCACAGATGTCACCAGCAGCAAAGATTTTAAAAAAATCTGGTCGTGACATAGAGTTTTTAAATTAATAGTCTCTTCTTTTTCATAGATTCAGTAGCTTTCAATTTCTGAAATTCCATGCTGGGAAGCAAAAAAGCACGAAGAAGTCTGTGGTAATCCTGTTAACTGGCAGGGAGAGGGTACTATCCTAGCAAGGA